GCAAGGGGAGTAGTAACTGGCGCTTAGCCCCAAAACGTTTAAGTCGGGCGCAAACCGACTTAGGCGCTGTTGTGATGAGGAAAAAAACCGTCCAAGTCGTGTGAGAACCGACTTACGCACAGGACGCCGTAACGTAGTAGCAGACACAGGCGAAGTGTACAAAGATGGGGCGGTCAGTAAGAGCACGACGTCGACGTTCATTCGGGAGGGAGGCAGTACCGCCGCGTGCGGTGGTCTGTAGGACTATTAGAGTACAGTAACGTTCGCCGAGGATCGAACTCCGGATCTTTTGCGTGTGAAGCACACGTCATAGCCTCTAGACCACGACCGCAAAGAAGTTGAGCCGTCCCGCAGAAGGTTCCAAATACATCTTTTGCTCTGCTTGTGGAGACGCTTATTACGTGTGTGCAGGACAGCTGTCGACAACACCTTCAACCTGTGAAGCAGCCTCAGGTTGTGCACCGGCAGTCGCCAGCCTTCTTAGCTTACGGCTGAGTCGCCGGCCCGATTCCGGCAGAACACTTCCTTGCGCCACCCCTTGATCCACAGATCGAATCAGCACTCAGCTCACTCGCGCTAAGCTGCTGTTTCCCATCCTCAGGCGAGGCAGGGTCTTGCGGATAAAACTGTCACGGCGGCCCAGTGGCTAATGAAAAATCTCCGGATCCGAGGTCCCAGGTTCGAGTCTGTATCACTTGTACCCTCATCGACAGCTGCTGGATTTGAACCGGCCTGGTCCGGACACCGGTCTGGCCTGAACCGTAAACCCGTGCTGGAGCCACTGAGATAGTCCTCTTTGCGGGGCGAGTCGTTGAACGCAAAAATAGTCCCGGTGGAGCTTGTGGCTTTCAGTGGTCAATCTCAGCTAATTGTCAGTAAGTTAAATCCCGCCGTCTCTATTCACGAATGCTCGAGTGGTCCAAGGGGATAGACTCAAGTTCTACTATGCAGTGCACGCGCGGGTTCGAATCCCGCTTCGTGTATTCTGGCTGGGTAATTAATTGTGATGTTGTGCGGCTGATGCTGTCGGGTGGGGTCCACTGGTTGGGATTGAATCGGTTTGCGCAGGTCAGACCAGCACGCCATCGCGAAATCCAGGTGGCAAGAATACACGGCTTTCACCGGTGCGACCCGGTTTCGAGTCCCGGCGGTGAATTCTTCAATGACACAAGTCGATCACTCCACTGGCACATCTCACGAAGCGAACAGGTAGCAGCAAGTGGGTGGTAGCCCTTGCCTCACAGGCCTCACATAAATTACAGCTTCAGTCCCCATGAGGCGACCCAGGTAAGCCCGTTCGAGCTGAACACAGGACGCATTCCGCGGCTGCCAGGTGAGCCCGAATCTGAGAGATCAACATCTGTCAGCCAGTATCTCCACAAACTACGGAGCAAAACTCACATTGCGGGCTGCAGTTACAGGCCGGTGGATTCGAACCCATCTCCGAAACAATGGGTGAAAGCGCCGATACGGCCTTTCCCGGACTCGATCCGCCTTGAGGGTCCAGCTCAAATGGTAGAGCGCCCGCTTAGCATGCGAGAGGTCGTCCTATGTAGTGGCGTCATTGGTTGCCGTCTGCTCTTTGATCTGACCGATGGGGGCTACACTTTGACAGAAATATCAGTCCCGTGGGACGGAATCGAACCGCCGACTACCTGATATCTGTCTACAGTCAGACGCTCCACTAACTGAGCTACCCGGGGCAATACCGTCCTTCGACCCCATTGCACACGTTGTGGAGCAGTGTCGGAAATTGAGCACGCACTCTCGCGAAGTCGTGAACGATTTGAATCCAGGGACC